GGGGCGGGCGGCAGGGTTGCTGTAAGCATGGCTTAGTGTTAAAGATATGCATACTGCAATATTCAAACAGCATCTAATGCCTCTAGAGCAAAAGATTTTCATGGGCTAGGGACAGTGGCACACATTTGTAATCTCAGCTACTTGGGAGGTTGAAGCAGGATTCCAAGTTTGTCTTGGCAATTTAATGATCTTGTCTCAAAAGTAAAAAAAAAAAAAAAAAAAAATCAGTAAATTAGTAGAAACTATGCCACATCCTAGAATATTCCTGTTTCAGAAAACCTTAATGGTGACCTGGGTTCATGTCCCAACACCACCACTTAACAGCAACCATCATATCCATTTCATTATTTGTAAGAAAGGCCTATTATCTGTTCTTGCCTACTGCATGGCACTTTAATCTAGGTAAGCTTTAAAATGTGGCTAGAAATTACGATGAGGGGGGCTGGGATTGTGGCTCAGCGGTAAACCGCTTGCCTAGCGCATGCGAGGCCCTGGGTTCAATCCTCAGCACCATATAAAAATAAATAAATAAAACAAAGGTGTTGTGTCCAACTAAAAAATAAATATTAAAAAAAAATTACAATGGGGACTTCATTCTTCAGTATTGGGGACTAGACCCAGGGCCTTGCACATGCTAGGCAAGAGCTTCACTCTGAACTATATCCCAAACCCTTTTCTTTTAAAATATATTATTTTTAGTTGTAGATGGACACATTTATTTTTATGTGGTGCTGAAAATCAAACCAGTGCCTCACATGTGCTAGGCAAGCACTCTACCACTTAGCCACAACCCCAGCCCTCTTTTCTTATTTTTGAGACAAGGTTAACTCGCCAGGCTGGTCTCAAACTTGCTTTTCCCTACTTCAGCCTCACCAGGAGTTGGGACTATAGATGTATTGGGATTACAGCCTGCTTGGCTGATGTTGGGGACTCTTAAGCCTTTGCATGCTTTCCATTTTTTTTTTTTTTGTCAAATTTCCACTCCCAATCTCTCTCAAAACTCCAGCAACTGAAAGATGTACAGTTTGGGGTTATCAAAATCTATCACTGAGCCTGGTGCAGTGGCACACACCTATAATCCTAGTGGCTCAGGAGGCTGACACAGAAGGATCAAAAGTTCAAGGCCAGGGGCTGGGGATGTGGCTCAAGCGGTATCGCGCTCGCCTAGCATGCGTGCGACCCGGGTTCGATCCTCAGCAGCACCACATACCAATAAAGATGTTGTGTCCGCCGAGAACTAAGAAAAAATAAATAAATGTTAAAATTCTCTCTCTCTCTCTCTCTCTGTCCCCCCCTCTCTCTCACTCTCTCTAAAAAAAAAAAAAAAAAAAAAAAAAAGTTCAAGGCCAACTTCAGCAATTTAGTGAGGTCCTAAGTGACTTAGTGAGATACTATCTCAAAATAAAATCTGGGGATGTAGCTCAGTGGTAAATTGTCCCTGGGTACCCGGCTCCCCAAATCTTATCAACAAGCAGGGTGCTTTGCAGAGAACCCTCAGATGGGGATTCCTCATCTCCCAGTGCATTTTCCATTCCAGCACTCTCCAAGAGTCACTCCACAGACACAAAGCAACACGAACTGCTACATTTTATTTTTGCACCAAAGGAAAATAAAAGAACCAATTTACTAAGCAGCTCAAAAACTGTTAGTGTTCAATGATCAAGAAGGAAATGAGGTCAGAAAGCAAACTTTTCACTTCCTCCCAAACATATTATTGCAAGTATCACAGAAACAATACTGATTTTCAACTTACAGAGAAGTTAATCAAAAAGGAGAATACTGCAGATACACAGGTCAGACTGGGAGCAGTGATCCAAGAAGCTTGAATAACCAAGCAGCTCTTTCTGTCCATATTCCAGGCTCATCAAATTCCTCCTATTTCAAAGTAGATATCCACATGCAGAAATCTTGGCAGCTCCAAATATATTAGTCTAGCTGTTTCACATGGCATCTCCACAAGCCGGGCCCCAACTCAAATTCTGTACAGGAAGTTCCCATTGCTGTCAAAGAACTCCCGTCCCCTCTGCACTACTTTGCTGCTGAAGTTCTGGTTCCGTAGCTCCCCCGTCTTCAACATTTCCAGTTTCTCATCACTTGGCAATTCATTACTGTCATTTCTTCTGGTGCCTACACAATCATTGGAGTATTTTTGCAGCTCTCTCTGATGACCTAAGGCTGCAGTGATAGGCTCAAAGCTTTCCTTCTTCAAGCCCTGGATTCCTTTATTTCTTCCCTTTTGTCTCAGTGCATTTGTACTGTGAGTTTTTGACTCTATCACTGTCAAAGCTGTGCTGTGATGCTGACCTTCAGATGAGGCTTCATCCCCTGGCATCAGAAAAGAGTTTGATACAGAGTGGCCTGCAGGAAGTGGCTTCACGGTATCTCTAGAGCCCTGGAGCTGCCGGAGTGAGTGGGCAAACTCAGCTTTCTTAAGAACTTTTTGATCCTGCTTCAGTTTCTGTTCCAAAGTGGGTACAAATTTACTTCTTAAAACCCTTCGGATAACATCGGTGCTGACATCAAAACCTTCAGCCAACCTGGGAACTGACCAGGACTCAGCAAATTCCTTATGTAAATACCTATGGGAAAAAGGAGCAGGTTTTCAAGTTGTGAAGAAGTCTTCTACCAGAACAGCTAATATAATATATAATATATAATATATATATATATATATAATACCAGTCATAACTAAGTAAAAAGAAAAGGACTTTGGAAAAATTATAAATGCAGTCCTTTTATTGTGCCAATTAAGTAACTGGCATACTCACAGTAACACCTGACCACTTTCAGTCGGTCACTTCATTTCACCTCAACTGAACACTTCCCATTGGAAGTTACTTCCTGGGGTGAAGGAAGACTGAACTTCACTCCCAAAAGTACACAATGGCACTATGCTAAATGACAGCAGATGATGTAATGAGAACATCCAAAAGGGCTGGCCCAGGAAATGTTCCAGAAAATCCAAGCTAGAGCCCATCAGAAAGGATAAAAAGCAGTAATAAGCTAGTAGAGAGGGGGCAAGGGGGGCTGGGGCTGCAGCTCAGTGGCACAGCACTTGCCTAGCATATGTGAGGCACTGGGTTCGATTCTCAGAACCACATAAGATAAATAAATAAGGGGCTAGAGTGCTCACCTAGCACATGCAAGGCACTGGATTTGATCCTCCTAGCACCACATACATAAATACATAAATAAATAAGTAAACAAACAAGTTATGTCCAATTACAACTAAAAAATAAAACAAAGTAAAGGCATTCTATCCATCTACAACTACAAAAAAAAAAAAAAAAAAAGAGGAGGGCAGGACAGATCAAAGACATTGATAGTTGAGTGAGCAACATTTGAAATACAAGGAAGCACATCACCTTCACTGGGAAGAGTTCAACAGAGCAGAAGTAAGGTCACATGGCGTCTAGGAGTCTGAAATTTATCCCAAGGCAACCGGGAGCCAAGGAAGGACTTTAAGCAGTAGAATGCCATGAGTAAGTATTCATTCTGAAGCTCAATCCAGTGATTGTTGTTCAGTGACAAAAGTGGAGGGTAGGGGGTGGGCGCTGGTCTTGGGTTCGATCCCCAACACCACATAAAAACAAAGAAAGATATTATGTCCAACTACAACTAAAAACTAAATATTAAAAAAAAAAAAGTGGGGCTGGGGTTGTGGCTCAGTGGTAGAGTGCTCGCCTAGCATGCATGAGGCACTGGGTTTGATCCTCAGCACCACGTAATAACAAAATAATGTGTCCACCTACAACTAAAAAAAATACATAAATAAATATATTTTTTAAAAAGTGCAGGTGGAGGGATTGGAGGTGCACTCAGTGGCAGAGTGTACTTGCTCAGCACGACCCAGGGCCTGGGTTCAATCTTCAGCATCATAGGGGCGGGGTGTGGGGGGGTGGTCTAAGTGGAAAGATTAGGCAAAAGGCTATTATTGTAATTCAGGCAGTCAGAACAGAAACAATGGCAAGGTATGCACAGGACAGAAGAGAGCTGAAGAATATTTAGGAAGGTCAAATGTAGAATTTGTTAAGGAACTAAATATGGGGATGGTAGTATCAAGGCCAAGGCTAGGGGGCAGGGGATATAACTCAGGTGATAGAGTGCTTGCCTTGCACACACAGGCCCTGTCAGATGCTCCAGGAATTTTTTTTTTTTTTTTTTTTTTTTTTTTAAGAGAGAGAGAGAGAGAGAGAGAGAGAGAGAGAGAGAGAGAGAGAGAGAGAGAGAGAGAGAGAGAGAGAGAGAGAGAGAGAGAGAGAGAGAGAATTAACATTTATTTATTTTTTCTTAGTTCTTGGCGGACACAACATCTTTGTTGGTATGTGGTGCTACTGAGGATCGAACCCAGGCCGCACGCATGCTAGGCGAGCGCGCTACCGCTTGAGCCACATCCCCAGCCCCTGCTCCAGGAATTTTAAGGAGGCTAAAGATCACACTGTGTCAGCTGAATCTAATAATAAGGAAGTCACTGATGGATTTAAAGAGAACAGTCTTATTGTAGTGGTTAAAAAATCACATGCAAAGAAAAAAAAAATGGGCTGGGGCTGTACCTCAGGAGGCAGAGCACTTGCCTAGCATGTGTGAGACACTGGGTCAGATCCGCAGCACCATGTAAAAATTAAACAAATAAAATAAAGGCATGTTGTTCCTCTACAAAAAAAAACTAATATGGGTAGAAGCAAGTTGGAAACAAAAAGAGGTAGGGTTTTTACTTTATCGGGTTTTTTTTGTTTTTTTTTTTTTTGATGGGGGAGTACTGAGGGATTGAACTCAGGGGTACTTAACCACTAAGCCACATCCCCAGTCTATCCAGGTGTGCCACAACACCTGGTAAGGGAGGGGGTTTTTTTTGTTTTTTTTTTTTTTTAAGTGTAGATGGATACAACACAATGCCTTTATTTTTATCTGGTGCTGAGGATAGAACCTGGGTCCCGCCCATGCTAGGTAAGAGCTCTACCCTTGAGCCACAATCCCAGCCCCAAGGGAGGGTTCTAAGATGACAGGTTCCACTGGGTAAGTAGCCCATGCCAGACTTGAGAAGCTGAGGCAGAAGAATTGCAAGTTCAAGGCCAGCCTCAGCAACTTAGGCCCTAAAGCAATTTAGCAAAACCCTGTCTCAAAAAATAAAGCATTGGGGATGTAGCTCAGTGGTAAAGCACCTCTAAGTTCAATCCCCAGTACAAATAAACAAACAGGTTCCTAAGAAAATACATGGGGACAACCTAAAGCACAAAGAGAACTGTCCTAAACACTTCTCTCAAAATGAGAATAAAAGAGCAAGACTAGGAAGCTGACAGGGTTTTTATTTAATGGCCTGTTTTAAATTTTTAGAAGGACATTTATTGACTACAAAAGGGGATTTGATAGGTAGAAAGCTGGAAGGTTTGAAAAAGTTAATTTAAGATAATAGAGAACTGATTGCCTAGCATGTGTTAAGTCCCTGGATTCAATTTCCAGCACCAGGAGAAAAAAAGAAAAAAGCTGGGAGGCTGAGGCAGGAGGATCTTAAGTTCTAGGACCAGCCTAGGCAACTTAGCAAGACCCTGTCTCAAAATCTCAGAATTAAAAAAAAAAAGGACTGGAGATATAGTTCATGGGACCCTAGAAGGGAGATGGTACAGGTTAACAAAATCTTCCCCCTTCCCCCCAACCAGGGATTGAACCCAGGGGCACTTAACCACTGAACCACATCCCCAGCCCTTTTTTTTTATTTTTTGAGATAGGGTCTTGAAAAATTGCTTAGGGCCTCACTGAGTTGCTGAGGCTGGTCTCAAACTTGCAATTGCCTACCTCAGACTCCAGAGTCACATGTGCCCTACATCCAGCTGGACTCACAAAATCTTAAACCGGTTTCTACAAAATCTTTTACTCCCAACTGGAATCATTCAGCGTACATAACCAACATAGATCTATTCAGCAATATTAACAAAATATAAATACTTTATCTTTTGGTCCTTAAACTCTACTTCTGGGAATGTATACAACAAATACGTCTGGCAAGAATCAAGTAGCCTTGTCTTCTGAAATGGAAAGATCTATAAGACACATCAAGTTACAAAGGAAAATGTAGAACAGAATTTATAGTATGCTACTTTTTGTGATTCAGGTGGTGAAAATAAAATTTGTACTCATACTTGCTGTATTTACATAAGAAAATCTGGAGAAAAAAAACACAAAACCTATTAAAAATAGTACCAATAGGCAACTGGACGATTCATTCTCAATGTGTACACTAGGTTATAGTTATAATTTTGAACCATCCATAACACATTACCTATTCAAGATAAAAAAAAAAAAGAGAAAAAAATTTTAAAAGGAAAAGCAACTTAAAAGCATTTAACATTTTTTGAGAAGGCACCTTTTTAAGATTTTTGAAGGAATGGATTCTCTTTTCAGGAAATGCATATAACTGGGCTGGGGATGTAGCTCAGTGGTAGAGCACTTGCAGGTGCAAGATCCTGGGTTCCATCCCCAGCAAAGTGAAAAAAAACAAACAGGAAAGAAAATTCACATAACCATGTGAGTCCTGTTTCTGAACCTAGGGTTGCAATGTGTTATTTTACATTTTCTGCAATATTGACAATTATAATTTTATATCATGTACGTATAAACATGTAATAAGAAATTCCAATGTTACATATAATTGTAATGCACCAATAAAAATATGAAAATATTAATAACCACAAAATTATATAAAAATGTTCAGCAAAAACGAACCAACTGTTATATGCTAAATCTAGATAACAGCTGGGTAAGGTGTAGTACTTGCCTGTAATCCCAGCAGCTGGTAGCTCAGGAGACTGCGACAGGAGGATCGCAAATTGAAAGCTAGCCTAAGCAACTCACCAACACACTGTCTCTAATTAAAATATAGAAAAGGGGGGCTGGGGTTGTGGCTCAGCGGTAGAGCGCTTGCCAAGCAGGGGTGAGGCACTGGGCTCAATCCTCAGCATCACATAAAAATAAATAAAAATAAAAGAATTGTGTCCACCTACAACTAATTAACTAACAATATATATGGGGGAGAGGGGGCAGGAGATGTGGCTCAGTGCTTAAGCGCCCCTGGATTCAATCCCCGATACCATAAAATAAATAAATAAAATCTAGATGATAAATTAAGGTCATGTTACTGTATTTTCTGTATAAATTTTCCTATAACAGAAAGACAAAATACAAAAACAAAACTCAAATGGCCAAACCCGTGTTTTAGCCCCAGAATCTTTCATCTCTTATCATAGCGGATGCTAACAAAGTACCCCGAGTCTTACCGTATCTGCTCCATGGCTTCCCATGTCAGAGTTCTGGGTGGGGCACCTGGCGCCTCCATTTGCCTCCGAATTTTCTGGAATCGAATTGCTTTTTTCTGTCGTTTCAGGGTGCTGGGGGAGAGAACCAATGGCAGAAGCCATGCGTGGAAGCAAGATAGGTGTTTGAAAAGTCTTGGGCTAAATCACCAAGAGCCCAGCCCTCATTTGTGTCAGTAAAGGCCACCGGGCCATGTTTGCCAGCTTAACGCCGCTCGGTACACCGACCCAAAAAATCTAACACCTACAACAATAACTGCCAATAACTGCCCGTAAGCATGCTGAACTATCTAAAAGTGTAACGAAATATACGTCACTAGCGAAGGAACCTGTGGTCGCAAGGAAGCTGAACATCTGTCCCTACGCCGCTAACAACAGGTAAGAAGTGGAGGCGGCTGGAGGACGCTCGGCGCTAAGGGGGCGCGGCTTGAAGCGCCGAGGCCCAAGGCCAGCTTCAGGCTGAGGGCCGGGAAAGGAGCTAGTACCTCTCGACCTCCTGCAACTCCCTCTCCTCTGGCTCCCAGTCGGAATCCGGGTCCGGCTCACGGCCCATAGGGCCTGAGCCCGCCAGCCCCCGGGTCGCGAACCCATAGCGAGCAACAGCAGTACGGACTCGGCCGCCCAGCAACAGGCTGAGGGTAACCGCCATGGCGAAGTAAACCAGCCTCCAGCAGCCCACTACCCTACAGCACCGGAAGCAGTCCCGGAAGCGGAAGGGGCGGGGCGGGAAATAGGGCAGATGCTAGGCGTTGCCCTTTCCAGGGCTGTAAGGACAGTCCAGGCCTGAGCTGTTTAGCGGCTCGTTCTTCCCAGCTGTAACTGTTTGGCTGCCTTGAAACGCGAGGGTCTAAATGAGGTTCAGGACACTCCTGGAAAACGACATAAACTTTAATAAAAAGACGGATTCAATTACCGAGAGCCGCCCCTCTGTCTCAAGCTGCCCAGGCCTGCCTGTCTCCGCCACCATGGCAGGAAGGGCGTCCACCCTTGGCAGTCGGCTGACGGCAACAGACCCGTGCCTTGGGCACTTGACTCCAAGGGTAAAAGGGACACGTCGCTGGGGTGACCGCTCCCAAGGTTCAGACATCCCTCAACAGTAAGCCCAGCTTCAGGCTTGACAAGTGGAAATGAGTATTTGGCCAGCCTTGGCTCTTCATCTTTTAGTCTTTACCAATCCCAAAAGAATCTTAGGGTGTTGAGGAATTCTTGGTGTCTTTGTTTTTCCTTTTTCAAACAGGACTCCTGACTGGGGTTTTCAAACTGGAACTTGGTGGCCGACTTTCATTTAGCAAAGATTGAAGGCCCAGTGCTCCTTTTGGAACCTCAGGAGGTTCTCCAGGAGAGGTTGAGTGCTGACTTCCTTCTTGCCTTTACCTGTGCTGGCTAACGTTAAGAATTGTACTGGAATGCTGCAGAACAGGTGCAGAGGCAGGGCAGAGGGTGAGATCCCCCGCCTTGGCTGTTCTGTGTTCAGACTTTACCATGGAAGGCAATGTGCGTTCAGTCTGCAGAAGATAGCCATGCTTTGGGGTTAAAGTGGATGGCACTGATACTGCCAGGGCTTGGTTTATGGCTTCTAGCCTTCTGCTGGCTTGGCCTTCTGCAGTGAAAACATGGACCCCTCCTGAGTTGGTACTCACAGAAAAGATTTGCCCACCTCTTTCTCAGCTGTAATCCAGTTACTACCACAGAGGAATGGTATCCCATGCTTTCCTCCAGCATCTTTACCACACTGTATTATACTTGGTACGTTTACTTGCCCACTTTCTTGTTACCTTTGTTGAGGGCTAGGACTGTAATTCTGCCATTATTATCATCAGAGTCTAACACATAGGAGAAGTTAAATAAATGGGTCCACCACCTCCCCATTCCTGTACCACTGCATCGTTATAGTTTAGGAGCATCCCAGCTGTAATATCTGCTATTAGAAATTTATACAGGTCAAAGTGACCAAAGCTAGTTTTGTATACTTACGGCTAGTGACCCTGAATCTAGCGCTGGAAAAATAGTGCCTCCCAGCTTTCCTCATTGACAATGAACAGGGACCGATGGCTGCTGGATCTCCTATCCAGTTGAAGGTCTTGGGCTGCAGATGGCACCGGGAATGTTGTGGAATTGCAGCATTCGTGCTTGGCAGTGGCCCTAAGATCCTGGGGATCAATTCATGGGGCCGAAGTGGTTGCAGGAAATGAGGCTGGCCCTGCTCTGAGGTAGCCCCTCTTAGGAGCACCAATGGGACCAGACTCACAGATTGCACTTCTTGACTGCCCAGCCCGTCCTGGTGAAATCTAGGCTAGAGGAGAAGAGCAGTCCCTTACCACATTTCTTGTGAGGCTGGATGGAGTGTTGGAAGAAATAAGTAACTTAAAAAATCTCTTCTAGGCCGTAGCCACTATTTAACCAGTTATTCTTTTAGGGTTCAACAAAAACAGAGGGCCCAATAGATTTGTTACTAACCCAGCAACTGTTTTACTGGCCTGAGACTATTTACTTATTCCCTGTTAGAGGACCCTCTCAGTGCTAGAGAGATTACACAGAAGCCACAGCATGATGGCAACCTTGTTATTTGTCAGTCATAATTTTTGGGCTACTATGAGATAAGAATATAGAGGGTAGGTCTCTTGTAATTGAGAAAGTTGGGGCCTGCACTTTGCTGGATGTCAATTCTGAAAATAAGGGAGATGGGGAATAGATGCAAAAAGAACCAACAGACCAGACCCTCTCCCAAGGCCCAGCCTATTCAACTTTCCCAAGCTCCATTAACAGATACCATCACATAAGCATCTTTTGGTGTGACACCACCATCTGCTGATATCACAACCGTTTTATCCCTTCTTTTGCCAAAGGCTTCATAAGGACCCTCACCTGATACTCATGAAGTTTTTTCTGGCCCCTGTGACTGGGGTGTAGCATGCGGGTCAGCTGCTCTACAATACCCAGGCTTCGAATGAGATTCTCCCTTTGTATCAGGGCCTTCATCCGCTCTAGCTCCTCCTCTTCCACAATATCTTGAGGTTGCATAATATCCAGATGTATTGATTTGGGCTGCAAGGTACATGAGAGATAAATGCAGGATCTCCAAGGACAAGTCCCAAACCATCAGCAAAGATGGCTGTAGGACTCTAGCCCACTCTACCTTCATCCCTGCCCTGACCCTCCTGTAGAGTTCCCTTTGCTGTCCATTCTCTCACCTTCTGTTCCAAAAAGTCAGTTTCAATTTACTGATAAGGAACTCATCTCTCTTGTGCAAGGGAAGGAGAGGACAGCAGAGATTCCCTTTTCTAGTAGTCCCAACCCATTTTCCTGCAGAAAGATAAGAGTCACACAACCCCTGACACCTCTTTCTCCCGCTTCCGATTCCTGTAAGCCAAGTAGGTGAAAAGGCCCTGGGGCCCTGCCCTGGATCGGCTCTTCTCCCCAGCTGATTCACCCTGGTTCTGGTCCTTGTTTTCCTTTCGCCTCTTAGTGCCTGAATTCTCCTGCTGTTCCTGCTTCAGGCGGATCTCTTCTAGTTGCTGCCTGATAAAACATAAAAGCTTCAGATACTGGAGGAATTGTGTTGGGGAAAAGGAAATAGAGGGAAAACGGGATAAGCAGGAATCATGATCTGTTCTTGGGACTGATGGGACAGGAATTAGGGAGGAACCTGCAGAATGAAGAGTCACTAAGAGGCTGACAGAATATATAGCTCTATTTCTCTTTCCTCAAGTGTCTGGCTTCCTCCCCGCTGCTGGGGAGTAATTCAGGTTCAGGATCTGCCCTCATCCATCTGCATAAAGGAAATGCAGGACAAAGTGGCAAAGTACCTGGCACACTCTTCTCTGGCTTTGGAGGCAGCAGTCTCCTGGAAGAGGGAGCCATTGTGCTTGAAGAAGGGTTCATACTTCCCTGTGTCAGGCCCAGGATAGATCCGCCGATAGCCCCCCAAGTGGGAATCCTCATATCGTTCCTGGTCCTGCATGGCTGCATGGGACGACTCGATCTGTTCTCGCCTGTGGAAACAGAGCTCAGCAGAGTCAGAGGTTTGAGAATGTTCCCTGAAGAAAGGAAGGCTGGCCGCTTGGCCTCCCAAGCCCTTGACTGTGGGGAAGGCTGTCAAGGCCATCTCTGGTCAGCACTACCATGTGTGTAGGCAGAAGAATAGGCTTTGCTTCCAGAAATTTGATTTTTGTTCTAAGTTTAGAGGGGTTTACTTATAAACTGGCACTCCAAATTATAGGAGTCTAATTTTGAGACTAATATAAGTTCACTACAGAAAACTTAGAAGAGCAAAAAAAATTAAAACTCCCCATGATCTTACTATGAAATTAACATATTAGTAATTAGTACAGAGCAAGGACTCCAGGGCAGGACCTCCTGAGTTTGAATCCTGTCTTTGCTACTCCCTAGTTTGCCTTTCCTCCCTCACTTCCTTTTTTTCCTTCCTTCCTTCCAAATTGGGATCATATATCAATATTTTAAAATGAGTGTCAGACATAGTAGCACATGCCTGTAATCCCATCTACTTGAGAGGCTGAGGCTGGAGGATCACAAGTTCAAGGCCAGGCTGGGCAACTTAGAGTGAGACCCTACAAATAAAAGTGTGCGAGATGTAGCTCAGAAATAAAGTAGTTGTCAGCCATTTTTCCCCACTGAACATGATTCACTCAAGTCCCCTGTTCAGTCTCATGGGAACACTCAGGGTGTTTAATTTATCCTTCACTCCCATTCATCACACAAACATTTGAGTAGCTGTTATTCACCAGGCCCTAAGGCTATCATGAGGAATCAAATACAAACTACCCCTCATATTGGAATACCAGTAGAGAAAAGCAATGTTACTACAGGAATATCCAAAGCCTACTCAAATTCAATTTTATGTATCATTAACATATAATTTTAATATCAGTAACCAATCACCATGTTTGTAACCCATTTTATACGAAAAACAACAATGAGTGATCAATACTGATTTAAACAATTCCCTATTAACAACTAAACTGTTTTCTGTGTTTCATTTTTATAAAGTTCCTCAGGAACTGATTTCTAGAGAGCTGTGTTAAAAAAAAAAACAAACCAGCAGTTGGGCATCGTGATGCACACCTATAATCCCAGCTATGTAGGAAGCTGAAACAGGGGAATAACAAGTTTAAGGCCAGCCTCAGGAATTTAGTGAGACCCTGTCTTTAAAAAATAAAAAGAGCTGGGAATATAGCTCAGTCATAGAGCTCCCCTAGGTTCAATCTCCAGTACTGAAGGGGAAAAAAAAAAAAAAAAAAGCACAGCAAAGTATACAATTAGGATGTGAAGAGAAAACACAGAATGGGAGAAAATCTTTATTAGCTACTCTTCTGACAGATGATTAGTATATAAAGCATATAAAGAGCTCAAAAATCTTTACACCAAAAAATCAAATGACCCAATTAATAAATGGGCAAATAAACTAAACAGACACTCCTCAAAAGAAAAAATACATGGGCTGGGGATGTGGCTCAAGCGGTAGCGGGCTCGCCTAGCGTGCGTGCGGCCCGGGCACCACGTACAAACGAAGATGTTGTGTCCACCAAGAACTAAGAAAAAATAAATAAATGTTAAAAAAATTCTCTCTCTCTCTGTCCCCCCCCCTCACTCTCTCTTTA